AAAAAAATATGTTACAATACTTTCAAATGTGATAAATTCTAAAATTAACAAAAAATATATATAAACTACATATCTATATAACTTGTACAGCAAAGCGCCAAGGTTCTGGGTGCCCGCCTAGGTGCCTGCCTGGGTGCCGGGTGCCAAGCCGGCCGCCTAGGGGCCGCCTAGCTTTTTTTGAAACCTTTGACTTTGCAAATATCTTTGAATCAAAGAAAAATTATAAAGTTTTAAGAAGCATCCACAAGCTTACCCTTTCTTATTGAATTATTTTTAAAGTGCTGGTGAGGGCATTAAGAGACTTTTGGGGTGAGTTTGAGCTTGATCGACATTAAAACATCGAAGAATAGAGATTGAGCGAGAAGGTTAGTTTACAATATATATCAAAGATTCCTTTAATTTGAGCTGTCTTCCTCGGGGTCTACTAGGAGCGGGGATTTGGGATGGACGTATTATATTTACCCCAATAAAAATGACAAAAACAAAATAACGTGCAACTTTTATGGATGAGTTTCAAATGCCAGAATAAATAGGTTCAAAAACATCTTGCTAGTATTAGAAAGGGTATTGCTCCATGTAAAAAAGTTCCCAAACTTATGAAAAAGATTATTTAGTGCATAAAGCTGAAAAAAAAATAAGAGTAACAAAGGAGAAGGATATAGTAGAACTGAAGGTGGGGTTTTTTTGATGATGATGATGAAGGAAATGAGGAGGTGGGCAGGTGGCAATCTCCTATAGTTCTAGGAGGGTTTTTGGGTCTAGGAGGCCTCGTGTAAAAGGGGCCATCGATGCTCTTTGTACACCTAACCCCGAGGCTGCAGTTGAGAAGGTGAAAGGAAAAGGGAAGAAGCAAGTGATATTAGAAGATATGTACAAGAAGGGAGATAGAGGTAGGGTAATTCAATAAATTGCTCGCTGTTTTTATCAGGTGGGCATTTCTTTTAATGCTGCTTTCTTAAGTAGCTTCCATCCAATGTTGCAAGCAATTGGCCAATATGTTCCAGGGTTGAAAGGCCTAACACCATATGGGCTTTCACAACCACAATTGAAGAAAGAGGTGGAACACACTAAGGAGTACCTCAAGTCCTATAAGCATGGTTGGGCACAATTTGGGGTGTCCATAATGACTGATTCATGGAGTGACAAAAGGAGGAATATGAAGGACTTGTTGTGAATTCTCCCTTAGGTACAATATTTTTGAGATCTATTGATGCTTATGAAGATGTTCATGATGGGCATTACATATTCTTTTTTATAGATAAGGGCATTGAAGAGGTTGGGAAGGAGCATGTAATTCAAGTCATCAGAGATAACGCTGCTCCTAATTTTTCTGCAGCTCATTTGCTTCACCAGAAGAGGCCTTGTATATTTTGGACACCTTGCACTGCACTTGAGGCTCTTGGCTACATTCTTAGTGTAAAAGGGACATTTTCTAAGGATAAGGAGGTCACAATTTTAATATACAGCCACACCATTACTTAGCATGATGTGCATGTTCACAAAAAAGGAGCTACTGAGGGCCAAGGTCACTAGATGTGCTATTGCTTACTTGAGTCTGAAGAGCATATATAATGAGAGGATCCCAGTGAGATCTATGTTCACTTCAAAAGATTGGAGCAGGTGCAAGTGGTCTAGAGATCCCAAAGGAAAGAGGGCCCATGATATTATTCTCTCTAAGGTTTTTTGACATGGCGTAAAGTACTCGCTAGATCAAGGTCTTCTGCTTGGCTGATGATGGCAAGCCTTCTATGGTCTTTATATATGACAACTGAGAGTTTGGCCAATAATGAGGCCAAGTGTGGCCCAATTTGGGAGATTATAGATGAAAAGTGGGATAGGCAGCTTCATAGACTATTGCATTTAGCTTGGTACTATTTGAACCAAAGTTTTTTAATGCTGACCTTTATATTGAGAGGAAAGATATACGTATGGATAGATTTAGTGAGGGATAGGTAGCTTCATAGACCAATGCATTTAGCTTGGTACTATTTGGACCAAAGTTTTTTAATGTGAGGAAGGATATACGTATGGATGAATTTAGTGAGTGCCTTGAGATACTTGTTCCTGAGCCAGAAATCCGACATAAGATATCTATTGAGGAACTCATTTTGTATAAGTGTGCATTGAAGTCGTTAGGAAAAGAAATTGCGGTGAGACGAAGGACCAAGTGAGATTTAGGTAAGATATTTTATTTGAAAATTTTCTTTTAAGTTCTTGATGACTAATGTTGTATTTTAAATTCACTAAAATTCTTTATGTTAAGGTTAAATTAATTATAGAGATTGCACCCAATTTGCAGCCTAATGGTGGAGCCAACATGAGAGTAGTCCTCCGGAAGATGACTGTCTATGTCTTGAGTTAACCACCTAGCTCAGTTGTCAGTGAAATTGGATCTATGTCTTGAGTTAACCAACTAGCTCAGTTGTCAGTGAAATTGGAGTTCCTTTGAGATGGTATGCTTAGTTCCTTTCTTATTTAGAAGTTTATTCTTCTATTATAGAGGATATAAACTTGTAAAACCATTTTAATTATACTTTTACGATTCTACTTTAATTCTCTCTAAGTCCAAATTTAATAATCTAGGTGGTCACGTAGTAGTAGTACTCATGCATTTTTTCATAGAGGTGAATATAAAGAGAAGGAATAGGCTTGAGCAAAGGAGCCTCAATGACTTGGTATTTGTTAGAGGGAATTAGAGGCTTAAGGAAAAGTTCAATCAGCCAAAGAGGGATCCCATTGCTTCAAAGGACAAAGAGAATGCTCTTGAGTGGTTGGTTGGAGACCCTAAGATTGAAGAGGTCTTCCCTTGGGAGAGTTTGACTTGGGATATGGTTGAAGAGGCTTCGGGTCCGGCTTTTGATCTTAGGAGGGCCACTCTAGCAACAACTGCTATTGATACTTCATGAAGGGTGAGGGAGATGGAGGAGGAGGTAGATTCAGAAGAAACTAAAGAAGATGAGCAATATGTTGAAGACAATGATGATTGCGATGGTGATGGTGTCGATTTAGATGGCGGTCCAAGCGATGGTGAAGATTCTAACTGATAATTATTGAAGAATCGAAGATCTTTTCTCTCTTCTTTTGTATTTCATCGTATATCTTATATTGCATCTTTGTAATGATCTTATTGGAGACTTGGAGTTCATTTGACTATGTCTACATGTGTAACTGTGCATTGTGATTGTATGACATGTATGCCACTATGGAGTATGGATTGAAGAGATGGAAACTAAAATGCTAAACTAAATTTTCAATGATTTGAAGTTTTGAATGTGTTTCAACATTTAGGTGTATGTATATGCCTAAAAAAGGTTAGTTAAACATGCAAAAAAATACAAAATTTGCACAAATGTCTCCATATATATGTGTATGGGCAGCACATATATTTCATATATCTGAAATTGTTTTTCACCTCAAGGCGTTTGAGGTTCTGGGCGCCCGCCCCTAGGCACTGAGCACTGGATGTCAGGCTGGCAGCCTTGTTTTTTCTGAAATGTTAATGGTGTGTAGTTTCAATGCATGGGAAATTGGCTTCATGCATGGAAAACTTGGGGAATGGGAAATTGTTTGCACCATTTAATTGCATGCATAGATAGTTGGTGCTTAGGAATGGAGTAACAAGGGTAGTACTGGGATTATTCTATTGTTCTAAAGGCAAAATAGTCATATCTGTCTAGGGTTTGTTCCAGTGAGGGTTTGTTTGTGTTGGACTTCATATAAACTTGTAATTGCTATAAGTTTGAATAGTAGAGGATTTTGCTTAATGACAGAATTCCGCCCACATTGTGTAGTTGAGAAGGCCCTACTTGGTGTAGTGGCTCAGCCCTATGGTATAGTGGCTTCGTGGGTTGAAGGGACCACTTTCACTTCCTCTGACGGTGATCAACGAGTCTTTGTTGCATAACCGGACTCAAACCTTTCTGGTTAGTGCCTGGTTTTGCACCAAGTCACCTCATATGATACCTTCTTTTGAGTTGAATTGATGAGTTGGCTGGAGTAAGTTCCCATAAACATGTTACTACATTGTTTAGCATAAAGTTTGTCTTGACCCTGGGTCCAATGCAATCTGGTTTGTTATTCTTGTACTCGCTGCTTGGCTAGGAATGAGTTCTTGAGTATGCTGTTTTCCTTAAATGGCATCTGCGTGGTTGTCAAATGAAATAATTCAAATCATAGCACCTCGTGCTTTGTGGAGATACATTTTACACTGTCAATAAATTTTTGTCTTAGATGATGTGTGGTTGGTTCTGTTGAATTGGTGGCAAGAAATTATTTCTCTGACAAATTGTCTTGAACTAATTGAATGCTACTGGCATTCTGCTATGAATGCATCGCATTGTGGTCATGCTGATTGACATTTAATCTTCTCCACAAAATTTGGTGTGATGATACAAATCATGTCTACCATGGTATCACCTGAGTGCAATTATTCCATCTACAGGTTAATTCTATCCGCCCATGTTCAGCTTTTTGTGCTAAGTAGCTATTTTTATCATAATGGTAAATAATTATTAGTTGTAGTAACACGCTCTGAAAGGGATTCGTCAGAGGGTGGCTAATCCTGTGCCTTTTGTCAAAGAACCTATCACTTAAAGAACAGATGTGAATACTCAAGAAATTTAGCCATCAGTCAACATATATTGCCTTTTGAAATGCTCAGAATTGTGTAGTTGTTGTGACTTCTGATTCCTTGTTCTTTGATTATTACGATACACAATTTCTTGCTTAAGATGCCTTTGGTTGACACCTGCAGGCTTGCAAATGTTATTCTTCCCTGGACAAACTGTATTTTGGGTTTGCAAAATGAAGGCCATTGAAAGAATGAAATATTTGTTGCATAGTTGATGCTGAAAACTTCCATTGTTTCATAACTGAAATATTGTTTTATCCTGATTCTCTAGAAATTGTTCATGTGCACCTGAACAATATTGCATAGCCAGGATATGTCCTCTTTTGCATAAATGGTAACTGGGAAGTATCCATTGTTCTCCATATTACAGTTTTAGAATGTTCAGCAATGAGGATGTTACTATTGGGTCTTGGATGCTTGCGATGAATGTCAACCATGAAGACAATCACGAACTCTGCAGTACGGAGTGTACATCTTCTTCTATTGCAGTTTGGGACATCCCCAATTGTTCAGGTTTGCATTTTCTTCCTCCGTCATGAGCTTCTTCATTTTGGATAAATTTTAAATTTCTGTTATTGACTGAAGAAATGAAATTTCAAAGATATCTTACTTGCCATAGCTTTGATAAGTCTTAAATGAAATGAAGAATAATTTTCATTTAGTGAGGATTTTTAATTATTTCAAGGCTCATTGTACTTTTGTTTATTAATCTCATAAACATTGGAAACGATGGTTAATCATTCATTTGGTGTCTTGTTGATTTAGTGGGGAACTGCTGAGATTACCTCTAGGGACATGTAAATATTCTACTTTTGTTCCAACAATAAAAGAAAATAATGTTTTATTTTATTTTGATGATGATCACATACATGTCTTTGTTTTTGTTAGCATTAGTCAGGGAGAGACCCCTTTCCTTGCTGTAGAGCTACTCACTGTTGATGGCATCATCTTCACCTAGAGACAGAGCCCGGACCTCTGTGGCACCTTCCCGCCCCCAACACAAACACACACATACATTCTCTTGTTGGAGAGAGGGAGGATCCGATCTGCTAGTCATCTCTAGAGTGCCCTTGCTATATCAGCTTGGTAATTCATCCTTGGCTGATACCTAAATATGAAGAGTTGATGCGACCAGGTAAGCCCAACTTTTCCCTCTCAGCAACAAACAACTCCCCCTCTTCTATGTCCCACCTCAAAAACACACCCCTCTATAACTCGTTCAGCCCCATTTTACGTGAACTTTATGCAGTATATGGCCATATTATCATGCCTAATAGAGTTTCTGGACCACAGAACCCCTTTCACCCCAAGAATACCCCCCAACAGGAGCCCAGTCGCGTAACCTTCCCCCCGACCATGCAATCTTTGCAAGGCCTTTGTGAAGGTTGATTGGGGATCTTTCAGCTCTGTTCCTCTCAGAGCTTTGCAGATCCTCAACCAGATACCTAATTTGACACTAACCCTAGAGTTTATTTCATTGCAAGCTCCCCAGTGTTCTTTCTCAATTCACATTACCCATGAGTGCCAAAAGGATTTTGATTCTTCTTCCTGGTTGGAGGAGCTTGAGCTCCATTGAAGGGAGCACGGATGCCCATGAAAGCTAGGAGTATGAGAAGAGGGTGCGCTAATCTGGAGGGCTAGCAAATTGTAGTTCGTAGTTGAAATAACCGACAAACTTTCGGGCTCTGAAATTTCGATGGGAAAAAGTTTTTCAGACAAGACAAAGCACCGTGTGAGAGGTCGGTCCCTGTCAAGCAGCTCATTCTAATCAATAACCATCTTGTTGATCCAACCATACAACTCAGAAAAAATATATCTACCCAAAACTATTGGTTTATTCTGATGGGACCTAATTTTGAGTTCCACTTCAAATTCAATCATGTTAAATTCAAATTACCCACCTCTTGAGTCCATGCACATATCTAGAAACCAACGATTTCGTTGCCACGTTTTAGCATCCCACCCTCCACTTCGTAATTACCCTTCCCTCCTTGGGAAATTTCTCATTTGTTCCCACCCCTATCTTGAAATCCTCATCGTCCATGCCAACAAATATTAATCGAACAACCCTAGTTGCCCAAACAGCTGTCTGTCACTCAGTTCATCAAAGTAAGAGCAAGCAACTGGCACCCACTGATCAACAATTTGCTGGGCCCCCACTGCACATCACCCCCATCCAGATTTAAATCCTAGTCTACTTCAATTATCAAATCCTGATCATAAAGCCCTTGGACTGCCCTCGTGTCGTACAATTCGTGGTTGCTGATATCTCTTACCCTAATCTGAAGACCAAGTTGATGGTGGAGATTTGCAGTGGCATTCAATGGTGGCCTCATTATAGCCGTCTGTGTATTCCCTACCTCCTCCATTCTCTCCCTTTCTTCCAATTTTTTCATCCCCCTAGGTACACATTTCTTGGAAGCCTAATTGAGGGTTTGTTCCACCGAAGTAGGCTCAACGAGGAACTGGCGTTGTCAGTACTTGATGGATATCTAACAATTGAAATGAGAAGATGCTGGTCCCATGCATGTCCCTGACTCAGTGCCTAGCCTTGAGAGATCGCCTGGGGTTGTACCTGCCCAGGGGCAAAAATGCCCCTCGTGGAGGGCATTTTCATCCTTTTCCCCCGTAACTAAGGGGGCACAGGAGAGGGAGGGGTTAGGTTTTCATCCTCTTGTGTATGGATTATGGACTGGGATGGTAATCATGGCAATGGTGTGGACTATGAAGTGTATGGATGGAGTTGTATGTATGGACTATGGAGTAAGGAGCATGGTTTTCGATGGTAACGATGGTAATAGTATGGATCAAGGTTAAAAAAAAATGTCGATCCGATCTAGATTCGCCTGAACCTGATCGGGTATATGTGGCACTATCTTGGATATGCTAATAAAACGAGATCTGGATGATTTGCTATAAGGAGTCAGATTGATGCCATCACAGATCGGACACGTCATCGATTCTGATGTCATGTTTTGAAACACGTCACGTTTTTTATTTGCTTTTAATTTTTGATGCTTTTAATTTTTGAAAAATGTCACGTTTTTTTATTGTCTAATTTTTTTTTAATAGATGGGCCCCACAAGCAATAATTGGCCCAACTGCACGCTGACCACGTGCCCTGCTCAACCAAGAGCAATTAAGGCACGGGCCTCAAGCCTTTTATGGAACTCGTTGCTTCATAGAATTGTCGATGTGGGACAATTCTGCAACTGCTTTATGCACGCAAATTGTTATAGTTGTAAATTAGATTTTTTTAAATTAGATGATATTATATGACAAATTTCAAATTCATTTTTTTGTATAGTAAAATGATTATAAAATATAAATCAATAATTTCAAATTCAATGTATAATATTATAGTTAGTTACGTTGTGATATGGACGTGTAAAGAGAATTAATAAATATTTGATGTGATAGTAATTTAACTTTATATGAGAATTTTTTTTTTAATCTTATAATATGGAAGTGCTTTTTAATATTTTTAAGGGGAAATATTTCCATATCCCCAATTTTTAGGTTTCATTTCTTAATAAACCCAAGGTTTCAAAAGATATCTTCTAACCCCCTGACCGCTTTGAACCTATTTTTTAACCTAAATAAAAATGAGAAAGACATGTTCTTTCTAAACCCAATCCTTTCTCTCTCTTCACTTATATACCCCACAGTTCTCTCTTTCTCTCTCTTATTGCGTCTCTCACTCTCTCTCCTCCCGTGTTTCTCCAAACACCTCTTTCTCCTCTCCCGGTAACATCTCACCCCCATGAGCCCTTCTCTCTCTCTAGAAGTTTGGGAGAATGGCTTTTAGAAAAGGCATGTCTTTTTAGATTTGTTTGGCCTAAAAACACAGGTTTAAATTAGTTCAGGGGGTTAGAAGAAATAAAATCTACAATTTTTATGCCCCAAGATATATTTTAAAATCTTGGGTTTATTGTGAAATAAAACCTAAAAATAGGGGGTATGGAGATATTTTCCCTATTTTTAAACTATTTTGATACAATATTATAATATTATATTATTATTAATAATTATACAGACATCCTGACAGGAAAACGTCGGTATTTACCTATTTTTACAAAATAATGAAAGTACATAATGCACCACTCGTAATTTCTTTTAGAAACTAAAAGAACACTATTTTTAGAGATTTATAGTGATTTTTTGAAAAAAATTTGGGATGTAACTTGCCAATTCGGCCAATTATCCAATTCAACACACCGAGCCACCGATCCGACATGGTTTCCGTGGTGGACAATTCGGGTCGCCGATCCGTTTTTTAAACATTAGTATGGATTATGGAGTGTATGGGCGGAACTATGAACTACGGACTATGTGTTATGTCTAGTGCTGAATTTGAATGTTGGATTATATTTTCTTGTTTTTCTTAATGTGTTATTAACTAATCGTCCAGATGTCAAATACTTTGGTTTGTCTTAGTTGAAATTAAAGTAGAGAAGAAAATGGTTTGGTAGGTTCTAGAGAGGACAAAAAAATAAAGATGATGATGGAGGGAGAGAGAGAGAGAGAGACGTGTGAGAGATAGAGAGGGAAAGCGAGTGGCTTAGAGGTCACTTGTGACATCTACCCTTATTATAACATTAAGTAATAACCCTAATTACAATTTATGGACAATATTGCCCTTATTTAGAGACATATGACAGGTAAGGACTAAAAAAAGACAAACGACTGTTCTTTCCATTAAATATCATAAAACTTATTCCTTTTATTTCCAGCACTTTGCCTCAAGCTGGTGCATCAATATCAATAATGACCAGCTTGCTTCTGATGTGATGTAATATGTCCTGTCCCGTCCAACGGCATTGGTAAAGATTTGCAAGTTGATCTTTAGACTTCACATAAAGAGTCTGAATGATCTTGGTAGCAACCTTCTCTATGATAAAGTGACAAATCTACTTCAATGTGTTTTGCCCTTTCACGAAAAATAAGATTTTTTGCGATATGAATGACAGCTTCATTGTCACAATATAGAGTCATGGGAAGCTTAACTTTGACACCCAAATAAAAATGAGCACTTTTGATCCACATTACTTAACATGTTATATGAGCCATTGCTCTGTATTTTGCTTCAACACTGGATCTTGCCACCACATTTTACTTCTTGCTTGTCCAAGTAACCAGGTTTCCCAAAACAAAGCTACAATATGCATTGTGGATCTTCTATCGGTTTGGCAACCAACTTAATCAGCATCTATGTAAACTGCGGGATGTCCTTGATTTGAGAAAAATATTCCTTTCCCTGGTGCATGAGATATCTTAATATTTTGTACACAGCATTGAAGTGGGTCTTAGTGGTGCATGCATAAATTGGCTGACCACGCTAATTGCATCAGAAATGTGTAGTTGAGTTATTGTGAGATATATAAGCTCGCCCCCTATTCGTTGACACCGATTAGGATCTTTGAGTAGCTCTCCCCTTTGTTCATGAAGGTTATATGATTGACTTCTAGAAGAGTAACTGCAGGTCTAGATCCTAACATCCCTGTTTGTTGTAA